GAAGATGAACCTGCAATTGACACGAATACAGTACAATATCAGGTACTAAGAACTAGGACATCCCCCAAGACACTGCATGAAACAGTGCGCACACTAAACGATTCACAACGGGCTACCGTTACCAGTATGGGATTAGGGAGCCTGCTTGACATAAATATAGACGGTGTCCCATCTCGTTTGGGATTTTACGTTGTAGACAACCTAGACACTGTGAATATGAGGCTTAATGTTCGTCACGGTTCAATTCCAATTACAATAGCCTCAATTCATGAATTACTAGGCTTGCCGATTGGGGGGATTGACATACTTAGTACTCAACAAGACAAATCTGAGCCAAATCTTAACGGCATGTTTAGGAAGCAATTTGATAAGAAAAAGATGAGACCAAAGGATGTTATGAAACTTATCCAAGGTTCTGGAGATGCATTCGATGCATTCCAAATCAACTTCTTGGTCTTGTTCGTTAACTTGATGATAGATTGTAACCGCATGGGCTGTTGCAATCTTAGTTTTTTGTCTTCCATTAAGGATTTGAAACTGATACCCGAGATAGACTGGTGCAAATACCTTTATGATATGTTGCGAACGAGTAAGGAAAATTGGAGCAGATCAAGTGACGTATGTTTCTACGCCGGGCCACTTACTTATTTGACTGTAAGTGTATTTACTCGATTATTTAGCATAAACTGTTTTTAATCCTAAGTCTAAACCTCTTAGATTTTACCTTTTAATCAGTTACTATATGTTGAGTCAACAATATGGCCGGATCAAGTAGTTGACCACATGCGGCCAACAACAATCRGATGGAGCTTCGACATGTTAAGAAAGCGGGAGGCTTGGGAGATAGCCAACGGAGGCCTAGGATCGGCTAAATTATTGGACGTGACAAGGGCGGTTGAAAGAGAGGTAATTATCTACCTTCTTTGAATTTCATTTAAACGTTTCACACTGAGTAACCGAATAAAATTTATGTGGTAGTAGTACACGTTAACTAGAAGCGAAATATATTAACAATCCATTTTTTTAGGTCGCGCCGTTATCATATGAACTTGTTTCATTGTTCATATGATATCATATGAACCTATATGAAACAGTTTCACTTATATGAAACAGGTCCACTAATATCATACGAAACAGTTTAGTTAACATGAGTTAACTAAAATCAATGAAACTGTTTCACAACCTATAGTTCACTTTTTTATTTCACTACTTCATTAATGGTTCATTCCACTAGTTCCCTACTGTCACTGAATCATATGTAACTGTTTCATTGAACTTGTTCACTACTATAACTGTAATTTATATGAAACTGGTTCACTCCCATTATTTTACATTAGTCAATGAAACTGTTTCACAACCTTTAATTCACTTTTTCATTTCACTACTTCATTAATGGTTCATTTCACTAGTTCCTTAATGTAAATGTAGCATATGTAACTGGTTCATTGAACTTGTTCACTACTATAACTGTAATTTATATGAAATTGGTTCACTTCCATTAGTTTACATTGGTCAATGAACTGTTTCACAAACATCAAATTATCTTGTTCACCACGACAGTTCACTATTGGTTCATTTCACTAGTTCACTACTTTCACTGTATCATATGAAACTCGTTCTTATGAAACTGGTTCACCTGTTATTCATCTGTTCATTTCATATCAACTCTGTACATATTGGACAGTTTAACATAAGACCGTATAATATTAAACTGGTTCTTATGAAACTGCTTCATTATAAACTCATTGTTCATTTCACAGCAACTCCATACATATTGTACAGGTTAACATCATATTGTTTCATGTTAAACTAGGGTCATATGAACCTGTATCCTATGAAATTGGTTCACTATTCTAAACTGAAACATTTATGCAACAACTAATATCACACAGTTTCGCTACTATGATACTGTTAATATGTACACTGTTTTAATAAACATCTGACACTGTTTCAATAATAATCCAACACTGCTCTCAATATGAACCTGTGTGATGAACCAGTTTAATTCTTATTAACGAATTAAAATTTGTATGCCTTCCTATGATGTGTAGGTGGAAATCAAGATGATCAAAGACATGATAGGTCATGTTCTTGATACAAGGCGTGAAATTGAACAGCGTCTCATTGCGTGCCAGGCCAAGTATCATGCGGATGAGGCTTTCAAAGCTCTTGTTGGTGATCTGAATGCCATATTCTGATCCTCTACGCAGAATGAGTCGGGTCAACAAGCTTTAAACGATAATGTAGACCCGGCAGCTGTTGGTCCATCAAACGATATATGTGTTGGTAAACGTACCGGCCATGAAACCCTGACTGATAATGACCTGAATCAGTCACCATTATCACAATATTGGCTCAGTCAAACATTGCACAAGATATGTGATGAAAAAGTTGAGAAATCAATTTCTAGTAAAGAATCGAAGGACGCATTAGATGTACGGCCTCCACAATTCAACTTGGGAATCAGCCCGACAAAGACAGCAGAACCGTCACCGTCACGAAGCCACCCTCAAAGGATAAAGGAAAAGGTGTATGCATGTTGATGATGCAAAGTTTAAAAAATCCAACCGCTTCACCGGATGGCATGGTGAAGACGATACCACCAAGCACCTGAAGTCAAAATACGTTACAGCTTCTCGGCGGAGTGTTCGCTTGGGAGATCACCTTAGATCACCTTTCGTAAGGCGGGCTATAGACATGAAGGTAAGTGCAGAAGATAGGCGTATACACAAGTGGCCGCTAGCAGAAATTGGACCAACCTTGTAAGAATATGTTTTTACTAAATATTCACTGTATTACATTGTTACCAATTGCGCTTACTAACATATTATCAATGACATATGATTCGACTAATATGGGTATGTTTACGTTGCAAATCTATAGTTACATTGTATTCGAATTGGAGAATTCCACGAACATATTGCGGGGGAATTTGGCAAGTCTAGCATCAAAATCAATTGTATACATAAATGTTATAGATGGATGGGCTGAATTGCTAAACATGGAGGAAATGTATAGAAGCCATGACTCACCTTGTCGTTTTTTTTTCAATACAACTGTATTGGTAAGATTTATAAGATTAATGAAGTTATTTAATGAAACAGAACATGATTTCATGAATGTTATCTGACTACATGACTACCACACAGGGAGATCCGAAGCTAAGGACTCAGCAGGCAGATTTTAATGTTTAGTATGACATTTTCAGCAATTACCTAGAAAAATCATTTCGTTTCGACATGGAAGTTATTAAAATGCGAAATATGGATCTGGTATGCTCAACATTTACATTTTTTTTGCATTTAAAATTAGGTAGACATTTATTTTTCACATGACATTACGTAACAGTTAAACACACACAGGCTTTCTTCCCTATTATGGACTGTGGTCACTACTACATGGTGGTGTTTAACTTCAAGAACCCATCAATTGTTGTAATAGACAACCGATTTTGGAAAGGATGTCAGATCGAAGACGATATGGGTTTGTATGAACACGTTGTCGACTTATTAGTAAGTATACTAACTGGACAATCACTCTTATACTTGAATTTTCTTCCCGAATTACATTTTACAATTGATTATTTCTTTGTCCAGCATCGCCTTATGATCAAGCATCTAAGAGTTGTAGGCCATCCTAGCTGGCAAGAAATAGATGAAACGGGGTATGACCGCTTGGAAATGAGTTGGCAAACAAAAGACAATTTCGAGGATGGAGGTGTGTTCTTGATGAGGCATATGGAAACTTGGATGGGAGATGAAAGGTCATGGAAGACCAGGTTCACTACAGAAGGGCCGAATCAAAGAACCCAGCTAACTGATCTAAGGAAGAAATACACGGCAAAGTTAGTACTCAGCAACTTCGGCAAAAGAAGGGAGTCAATTGTGAAAGAGGTTGATCTGTTTCATGCAATGGATCCCGAAGACAAAAAGAAAGCAATAGAACAAGCAAAAGCAATAAAGAGATCTGCCATAGGCGTTACCGTTTAATCATAGCAATCCATGGATTTAGCGTTGGTTCACTAACGATACTTTTTTTTGGGTTATATTTGGAGGTTATGACATGAATTTTATAGTGTTTTTTAGTATTCAATTATGCGTTGTTCATTTTGGTTTGACTAAACTGATGTGGTCTTTACAAGTACTCAAAAATTTGCTAAGCAACGTAATGCTTAATCTTGTTTCCTTTACAATCAACCGTATTTTTAGTGCGTGCTCGTCGTACTTGTGTTCTATCTCTTCATCATGAAACTATTTCATGTTACTCAACCTTCCACATTTCAATATTACAATGAAACATTATCATTGCACAGAATGATACTATTAATCAAACGCGTCACTACCGAATTCACTAGGAATGATATGAGAAATCATACATCATTTCAACTGCACCGTCCCAAACAAACTTCATTTTCATGATAACATTTTCATGCCTATCATGAATGGACATTGTTTCACCGTTGGCCTAGTAAACCAATTTTCCTTCACACTGAAGTTTATATACAACAACCATAACTATATATGTTTGTATGCACCTGTTTCACATTCACTTTTCTGAACACTATATATATGTACATTATGCAAAATACCAATTAGTTGTACTCCATATGTAGATGCATCCAAGTCATCCGAAATGCAATTTAAAGTCTTCCGTATTATTTCATTTTTACAGTATGTCATTACATGTTTTCACTTTTTCCATTCCACTGAACATTTATTGGTCAGATAATTTACATACTGCTTACACTTAAATGTTTCTAGGGTAGAAGGTAACTACATTAGAAAAAAAAAAAGTAAAATTCAAACAAATTCCATCCAAAATAATTTTCTTCATGATGGACATGTCTTATTACCACCTTCATCGTATCCCAATCTAAACGTTTTCACAACCATTATATGAACATGCTCATCCCAAAAAATTTAGAAGCCGGCAGAATTTCATCGATAATCGTTACTAGCTAAGATAAAACAAATGAAACAAAAAACAACGTTCCTCACAAATCAAACAATTATAATTCGAACACCTAAACCGTTATTTGGTACTATCGCCCTTCGACGGACAGTTGCGGGAATCATGCCACCCCATTTTATCACAAGTTCTGCACAATCTTTTCGGCTTCTTGCATTCATGGATATCCTCTCTGACATACCAACAAGACGCTTTCTGGTTCCACAACCTTTATTATGTATCCATGTTGGTGGTAAGACATCAACCGATTCAGGTTCGGAAACACATAAGAGCTCCTGAATATCATTTCTCTTCTGCTTAGTACCTGTCAATATTGGAATGTCCAATGAAATTTCATCACCCAAACGTTCCAATCGCTCCACAAACTCTGTCAACGCTCCCTTGTCATTTCGTACATGCCCAATAATAAGATCAAACATTGACGTAGCCTGGTTGATCAAAGCTTGCTTCTCAACATCCATTTCACCATACCTAACACGAGCCAGCAACAACTCAACAGGAACTAACTCTCGTCTCCATCGCGGCAAGATGTATTTCTCGGGAATTGATTGCACCTCAGAATTTAACATTACCTTAAACGCGTGGCGACATAATATACCATTGCGAACAAAATGGTTGCAATTACAATCAAAAGAATCACCCCTTACATCATGAACCACCTAGTATATCATACATAAAGGAAGAGAAATTATAAATAATTAATAGGAAATGCGATTGTAATAAATTATTTGTGAAAATGAAATCAAAAAATTGATCATCATCTTGTACGTAGCTTTAACCTCAGAATTCTTGTTCTTATCTGTAATATTGTAAATCATCTTATCACCGACCTCTACTACTTCGACAACCCTACAAAACCATACTGCTTTGTTCATTTCCTTTTGCACCTCAAAAAACATTGTTTTTGTGTACACTTTCGCTGCTTGCGCTTCAATTTTGGATGGTGACAACAATGTAGGTATTGTAGTTCTAGTTGCAACCTCAAGGGAACAATGTTCTTTCCTTTGACTTTTGATTGAATCATCGAATGTGTTAAGAAAATAAACAAGATCATTCCAATACTTCGTATAAACATTAAAAAATGAATTAATACTCTCAAACCTGGAAGTGGTTTTCATAAGACCAGACATTGGGTAGTCCTTGAAGTAGGCTGGAATCCAAGATTATCTTTTTGCATACATTTTTTCAAACCACGAGTGACCCCGCAGTCCAAACTCATCCATCAATGCATTCCATTTCTCCTCAAAAATTTCGGCACTTATGTGTACATTCCATATGAGTTTGTTGAACTTGCTTTTAAACGAGGTCCCATGGGCTAAATGATCATAGATCTTCACAATGAAACAAGCACACAATCAAACAATTGGCAAACCATTTTTTTCATATTGCCCATTCTGAAGACTTTTTTGTGATGAAACGCGTAGTAAACAAACTTATGTATGCATATATTAGAATTATCCTTAATGGATGAAATTAGACATACCTTTTCCTTCACTTTTTTTGTTATGTGCCACATACACAATCGATGAGTAGCTTCTGGAAAAACTATAGGTATCGCTTGTTTCATTACTACACATTGATCGGTTATTACAAACTGCGGCTGACTACCGTGGGCTTTCATAAACGCCTTCAATACCCAAGTGAAATTAACGATTGATTCATTTCTAATCAATGAAGCACCAACCACAATGGACTTCTTGTGATTGTCAATTGCAACAAATGGTACAAAAATCATTGCATGCCTGTTAGGATGGAAAAGAATCATTTAATCTTTCATTGGATATAAGTAAAACAATTTATAACAAATAATTTAAGACAGCTTACTTGTTTGTCCGAAATGTAGCGTCAAATGATATGGTGTCTTCAAAATGTTTGTAATTCATTCTTGCTATTTCATCTGCCCAAAAAATTGCAATCAACTCCTTCTCATCACACTTATATTCAAAAAAAATATTACGGGCAATGTTCCCGCCGTTTGTTCATCTTGTTTATTAGCATTTGTGCATCTTTGTTACCAACGAATAGCATAATGTCTCTTCTAAAGTTCATATGATCCCTAGCTGTCCCACCAGATGATACTAAACCTCCGTTAATTGCCAATTGCATCCTGCATGATTGAGTGATACCAACTTTAGAGCTGGATGCGTGGTAAACATTTTTACGATCCTTGTAGTCAAGTTGGTGTCTTGAACGGGTGAACAACTTTTCATCCGAACGACAAAGCATATGATTACGAGCCTCAATGAAATGATAAACCTCGTACCGGTCACTCTCTTTGACATAGTGTACCTTAAGGCAAGCTTTACAACCAGTACATTTGAAATTTGTATTACATCTTCTCCTCTCACCCGATGAAACTTCTAAAGAATCAAATTCCTTTTTGGGTGGAATACCCTCCTTGCTACAAACAAAATAACGTGTTTGCACTCCACCCAACGAGTTCATTTTTTTGCTGGCCAGTCGGATATCAAACCCAACAACGTCCGCGTATTTTCTATACATATTTTCTATGGAATCAACCGATGAAAAGAATTCACCAACCGTTGGACAAATATTGCCATCAACTTTAGGAATCCATAACTTCGTGCCCCCTGGTGATTCCCCCATTTCTTGTGATAAAGCATCTAATAAGTCCAAGTAGAGAATAAAATAATAGTTATAATTATGATTATGAACATGCTTGATTTGTTACATTATACCATTTCAAGTTCATGGAATTTGTTTCATAGTAGATGTACTTATATACATACACATATATATATATATATGTATGTATGCAATTTGTCCAAGTTTATGAAGTTCGTTGCATAGTATGTATATTTTCCACGTTTATGAAACGATTTCATTCTACAATGGTTACACTACAAACTACTTAAATGGTATGAACTAAGTTTCATCTTGTATCAGCACTTATCATATTGTGATTCAACTAATTCATCATCCTTCCTGTCTAATAATGTACTTAAAAATCTAAAATAGAATGTCAACGTCATCTAATGAAACTAATTCATTATGATATCTTGTCCATTACTTTACAGCAAAAAGATAACCATACCCTCACATCATACGAACAGATGAATACAAATACTCGTATTATGAAACGTTTTCAATTCTACCAAAAAGGACGAACATTATACAAACATTCATATCATGGAATGTACATCTACATAGGAATTAAAATGCAAATGATATACCATAGCACACATCTTCAGTCGCATCAACGTTAGTGCAATTGTCAGACATTTCATTCGAACTAATACCTTCTCCCTGTTCATTTCATTGTTGAAATACAATGAATTCATAGTATTTTCATATTCAAGGAAACAATATCCTTCATATCATGTTATTAATGACACTATTTTCATATTCTAAAGCAATATATTATTTTTAACTTTAAATCACATCCATCAATAAAACATATAAAAAAATGAATATAACACACCATATTCAATTATATGGATTGAATAGTTTTAAATGTTCAAGTACATTATATGAACGACATTGGTTTCAAATTTTAATCAACAGAATAATCCACATAATACTGATCATATTTCATAATTTTCATTGTACTGGTAGATAAATCTGTTACACTTAGTTAACGTTTTTTTTTCATCGATTACTGACTTCATAAAAGTTTATAATACCACATGAAATTGTTTCACTAATGCAACAATTTCACTTATCAGGATCAATACACCCATGACCAGTTTCACCTTATTCATTTTTCACTAATTTATCGTGAAATTAGTGAATGAGGAATCGCCTTTTCTATGCAACGGTTTCATTTACCATTTCAACTACAAAACCATTCACCTACACCATCTCTGTTCATGCCTTAAATCTGTTCATGACTTATTGTTAAATTTGGTCATGAACCAGTTTCCTTGTCATTAAAACGTTACATCTACTGAACGGATCGACTTACGATTCATCTACGTCATGAACCAGTTTCCTTGCACTTTCATGAACTTGTTTCATTAACCTTTAACCTGTTATTTTAGTTAAGATTCGATGCATTCTTTCCTTTGATCCTCACAATCTTCAAGATTCATGAGCAGATTATAATCTTCAAAGATTCCGAAGCAGAATCATCATGACTCCATTTCATGATACATTGAACTTTAAAAAAAACAAAATACATTATGCATCCGTTTCATTTTTATTTTACCAAATAAACGGATCAACTCCATCATAAATGAAACGTGGATCACCATTAAACTAGATCAATAGTCATGAATCAATTAGAACATGAACATGTTTCACCATCATGAACCCCGTTTCATTAAAATGGACAATATGTCTAGAGTATTAATATGGAACAATATGCCTAGAGTATTAGAACATGAACACGTTTCATCATCATGAACCTGTTTCATAATAAAACTTTTTCACATTGAAACAGTTTCATGAACATAGAATTTTTAATTTCAACCTCAAATCAAGATTTCATTCCATAAGGTGATCGAATCTTCAGAACACGTTTCCAGATTCATTGAATAACAATATTTTATTATAATAAAATATTTAGATGTTACCATTTATACAATTTCATTTATTACGTTTCCTTATTTAATATTTATTAATAACTTCCATATTTAATATAAAAATATTGTAAATGACTGAAATACCCTTATTGATTAAATTTAATTAAAAAAATTAGAATTTTTCTATTGATCGAAATTGGTTTACACGGTTTCTTAGAAATGCATGGTTTTCATTTGAACGTGTCCATATATATATATATATATATATATATATATATTAATAGAGAGAGAGAGAGAGATGAGCGTTCAAATGAAAACCGTCTCCATTTGTGTAAACCGTGTAAACCAATCTCATCCATCCATTTTCTTGATCAATAGTCAAGATTAATTTACTTTATTTTAGGAAATTAAAAAATATATATATATTAAAATTTTATTTTATATCAGCAATAAGGACAAAATGGTAAACAAAAATACATTATATTCAAGGCAACAATATCCTTCATATCATATTATAAATGAAACTATTTTATTTTGTAAAGCAATATATTATTTTTACGTTTAAATAACATCCATCAATAAAATATATCAAA